CTGCAGGGCAGGGCCGCGACGGTGAGGCCGCGACGAAGAGGCACCGACGGCGGCTGCAGGTGCGTCAGCGGCAGGGCAGGGCCGCGACAGGTGCTGCAGGCGCGAGGCGGCTGCAGAGCAGGGCGCGACAGCGGGGCCGCGACGGTGGCTGCAGGTCAGGGGCCGCGACTTGGGCCGGCAGGGCAAGGCCGCGACGTAGGGCGGCAGGAGAGGGCCGCGACGGGCGGCAAAGCAGGGCCGCGACGGGCGGCAAAGGAGGGCCGCGACGGGCGGCTGATTAGGTCGCGACGAGCGGCGACAAGGCAGGGCCGCGACGGGCGGCTCAGGCAGGGTCGCGACTAGCGCGACAGCAGGGCAGGGCGCGCGACGACGCGGAGAGGCAGGCGCGATAGCGCGCTTCGGGCAGGTAAGACAGTTTCAGTGGTGGGCCCTAAAAAGAAACGTTCCCACGGAGGGAACCTGCTCAGAATACCATGTCAGAATGAGAACGACGGAATGATTGAACTAGCAAGCAGTTGGGTACAAGGAGGAAACCTAGAAGTGTTGTACCCTATATGAACTACCCCACTACAGCCTACACAGACTATAGCATATAAGTTTGACATCCATGTCATCCTCCTTCGCAAATTCGTGCCTGCCACGACAGGCATCGCGCGTCATAACGCCGCCCCGATAGCTCGACCTGTCCCGGAACCGACATCCGACCCGTCGAAGATTTTGGCACATCGAATTCGGCTCTACGCATATGGCCGCCACGTGGATTTTTTAGTCCGTTGGATTGGCCGCACCAGTGAGGACGACACGTGGGTGCCATCCGCATTGCTTGAAGCGTCCCCGCTTCTTGGTGATTATTTCGCCCGGAAGCGAGTTGCGGATATTGACCACCTTTTTTAGGGGGGGGGGGGGGGGGGGGGGGGGGTAGTGTAAGGAATTTTCCTTATTCCTTACCGGGGTTGACTGCTACGCGTACTACTCCGACAATTCGGACTCAGCAGGTTCGGCCGACATCCACGATGCTGAGGCCGACCCGCGTCGCCTTCGGCTTTCCGATCGCTCAACATGCACCCAACCTCGTTTTCCCGAGGTTCCCTCCTAGCTAGGGTAGTCACTATATTAGCGCGTGCCTTCATTGTACAATCATTTCATTGAGTCACACTCTCGTTAGTCGTTATTCCGCGCACTCTCTTTAACAACTCATAACACGAGGATTGCATCAAAGGAGCGGGAATTGAAACAAGAGTTAGCGAAGGCATGAGCAAAAACTAAATATCGTAAATAATTCATGATAGCACGCGAAGGCAAGCTACGCCTATGCAATGGCGGCATCAAGGCTCAGACTGATTCTGAAGCATAGGTCGGCTCGACCTTATACAGTGAGGCAAGGTTTTGTGAAGCTAGCGCGCAGTGCAACGATCAAAGGCGGCTGGTAAAGGCCGAAGAACGGTCGAGGCCTGAGGTACAGTGTGGTACGTGTTGGAGTCGGTAGCGAAGTAAGGAAACTTCTAATCCCTGACATTTGCACACGTAAATAAATTGCATAACACACTCAATCCCTACCAAACACCAGATCACCAGTAACTTATCGATGGGTCTGTAGGAAAAAGATCGGAGCATTACTATGTTATAAAAACTCAAGGATCGATTGGACAGGATAAGGTCATAGGAGTTGAAGACAGCAGAAGTCTTACAGATACCTTGTCATAGTGAAACAGGGAATATTTAGTTCTACAATCTTGGCTAGCCATATGCTATGAGGGGTGCAATTCCTTATTCAACCGTAATACATGTATCGGTACAGTAGCAGTGACTATTCCGATGCCTCGCAATTACCAGGTGCAGCGCGTAACCTCCGAACATGGCCAGTCAACAACCGGTACAATTGACTTCTGACTGTTGACTTTCCATCTCCCTGCTGCCGTGTGCTCTATATGAATGTAACGCGGTACTGGGTAGTGCACATTTTCTATATGAGATAGCGCCATACTGCGATACCTTCAAGAATGCTAGTATGACATTTCGGTTATTCCAACAGACTACACTGTAGCTCATTGTACCACCCTAAAGCCGAGGCCCAGACGCGAAACGTAGATGCAGCACCAAGGGACCCAGTCGAGAGGAGGGTCGGCGAAACCTGCGGACGTCAGACACAGGACCACATGTTAAGCTGGTGCGCGGCGTAGCGGACTGCAAACGGCCACAAAAAATGGGGGGCACTAGCATGAATCATGGAGGTACGAGCAATCTCCAAAACCAAGCCAATGCGACGCTCAGCTACCCCATTCTGCTGCGGCGAGTCTGGGAGAAAGTACGTCTGGGTGATGCTCTCCGCACGACAGAACTGGCCAAGACGACCGGATGCGAACTCGTCACCATGGGCGCGCTGGATGCATACGACTACAAGCCAGAGGAGGAGAACGTCAGGCACGTCGGCCTTCCTCTCCAAGGGAAACACCGTGGTGTAGCACGAGTAGTCGTCCACAACGACCAGGAAGAAACACTCCCGGTGCGGCCCAGGGATGGGGGCAGGGCCCCAGACGTCCATGTGCAAGGTCTGAAGTGTCAGAATCCCAACCACTAGACCATTGGGAAAAAAGGGCTTGTTTGTGTAGCGGGTTTGTGCGCCCATAACCCCCCAGGCGAACGCGTCTGTAACCCCCCTAGGATCGATCGGGGATCTCACAGTGCAGCTCTACTGACACCCCCCCACACTGGGAGGCCCAGGACTAAGCACAGCGGCAACGGCCTACATGTGCATACACCGGGATTCGAACCCGATACCGCTCTGATACCATGTCAGAATCCCAACCACTAGACCATTGGGATAAAAGGGCTTGTTTGTGTAGCGGGTTTGTGCGCCCATAATCCCCCAGGCGAACGCGCCTGTAACCCCCCTAGGATCGATTGGGGATCTCACAGTGCAGCTCTACTGACATGAAGAGGCGCAGTGGTGGGAGGAAACAAGCAGGAGTGAGGGGCGGTGCAGTGCATGCCCTCGACGCAATGGGTGCACGGTGTGGCAGCCGAGGGAGGTTAGCAGGGAGTGACGACGTGAGACCAGAGACAAGACAGTGCTGGGCCATGTGACGGAGACGCGGGAGGGCGGAGTGACCTAGATAGTGGTGCCACAGGAGCGACGGGTGAGTGAGAGACCGACACGAGCACGACGCAGCTAGACCAGACGCTGGAACCTGGGTGGACGCAGCGTGCAGCATGAAAATACCTGACGCCGGGTCACAGGGGAACGTGGCAAGAGGTGCCCCAGTGGTAGTGTCCGTACAGGCCGCAAAGTGTCCAGGAGACGCCGAGGTCCTGAAGACGAACGATACCCACCAAGTTCCTGGAGAACGAGGGGATGTGCAAACATGTGAGGGAGCCAGAGGGGACTGCTGGGCACCAGATTGTAGTAGCGTTGTGTGCGACGACCAATCCAGAGGAGGGGTCGGCCAAGGTGACTACAACAGGAGCTGGAAGCGGCGAGAGGGTGGTGCGGTCACGAAAGAAGCACAGGGACGCGCCAGAGTCCAGAGTGAAGGAGAGGGACGCGTCGGCAGCGGACACACCTGGGCAGGAAACAACAGAGGATCCTACACTAGACAAAGCAAGAAAACCTAGTCTAGACACACACGAATAATAAAATCCGGCAATGGCAAACAAAGCAGATCCTATATGAGACATGTCCAGATCAAACACATGTAAACCACTGCATAACAGTGCAGGCCAGTCCGGGAGGGAAGCCATACGCCCAAAGTGGGGCTAGGAAGAGGTCCTCCAGCCGGCAGAAGTAGCGCGAAGTGGGGTGACTGGTGCGCCCGCAGATGGTGTCGTGCAGTGGACCCGATTGGATCTGATAGTGGCAGGGCCCGGTGGAGAGGCCATGCGACGTCCAGCTGTCAGACCCGCCACCGCGGCTACTGCTCCTCGGACCAGCAGGTCCCCACTGCCGCTGAGAGACCCACTGCTGGAGCTGCTGCTGCGTCTGCTGCTGCGACCGCTAATGCTGCGGAGTCACCGTCGCACCCACGTCGGCACTAGCGCCCCCGCGCCCACAAGAAGCAGAGCTAGTACCCTCAGACGTACATGCACCCCCCGACGTACGAGCACCTCCACCTCCTCCACGACCACGACCACCCCTGCGCCGTCCCCGCCCACCAGAGAGGGCAGAGACGGATGCGACCTCCGCCGTAGCAGTAGGCTCGACAGCAGCAGCAGAGGCAGTTGGGGTAGGGAACTGGGGCGGAGCGCACCCCTCAAAGATGGGGGTGACTACTGCACTAGTGGTGGAGGCGATGGTGCGAAGGCATGTCTCTATCTTAGTGAGACGAGTCTCAAAGAGATTGATAATGAGGCGCATGGGGTGCATGGCGAGGAGGGCGTCGCGAGCAGGTGCAAGGCGGTCAGGGAGGCGGATCGCTAGGGAGTGCAGGGTGGCATACATGGGGGGGGCGTGCTCAGCAAGGTCGTCAGCACTGCAAGCAGCACGGAAGTTAGCGTCAAGCGAGCGCAGATGGGTAGTGAGGTCAGCGACAGTGGAGAAAGTAGGGAGATCAGGGAAGAAGTAGGGTAGGCTGAGGCGCCCTAGAGTAGCAGATGAGGGGGTGTAGTAGCGAGCAACAATAGCATCAAGACACGCCTTCGCCGTTTCGATCTGGCGAAAGTGCACTCGCTCAGCCGGCGGCATGAGGCGACTACGAGCAAGGTGCGCAGCAGCGTCACGCGACTCCCAACCCGAGTACGCAAGCCGGGCCACGCGGTGAGCATCCCGCTCCTACGGCGTGGGCTCGGTAGCAAGAGCAGCAGGACGCTGCGGGGCAGGTAGCTCACCCGACACGTTTGCGTACAGGGAGACGTTGTCCTGGCACTGGCTCCGCAGGTAGAGCTTAGCGTCAAGCAGCCACGCGTCAAAGTCGATAGCCCGCCCCTCCGCATCGAGCCGCAGTACGAACTCAGACGCCATGATAGGAGTAAGCAGGGGCACAGCTTCAGCGGATGAGAGGGGAGATTCACAGGCGGAGGAGGAGACAGTTAGAGGCAGGCAAGCAGACAGCGGGCGGCACAGCATGAGGCACAGCGACGCGGCCGCAGCAGGGCGCGGCGGCGTCGAGCAGCAGCAGGCGCGACAGCGGCAGGCGCAGGCGCGAAGGAGACAGGCGCAACGGAAACAGGCGCAGCAGGCCCGGGCGCAGGCGCAGGCACGGGCGCAGGTGCGGCGGCGACAGGCGCGGGGGGCGGCAGGCTCGGGCGGCGGCTGTTGCAGCTGCAGGCGCGGGTGCGGTAGGCGCGGGAGTGGCAGGCGCGGGCGACGGCAGGCGCGGTTGCGGCGCGACGGGGCGCGACGGGGCCGCGATGGGGCGCTAGACGGGGAGGGCGCTATGGAGGAGGTAGGAGGCGCGAGAGCGAGGAACCTAACCTACATCTGATACCATGTTAGAAATAGAACGAATGGTCAATGAGGCCATACTAAGGGGGTATATTTAACATCCCGTACCCTCTATAGAACAACCCAATCTAGCGTATGAAATACACATGCAAACGTATATATGTCCGTTGACACATGCTGCCGCAACTGATTGTATTTGTTCGTATCAATAGTGGAAACCTGGTTTGCCTGTTCACTGACACACATATACCGTATCTAGCAGGTACCAACCTATTTCGTAAGACAATCATGCCGTATGCTAGGCAGGCAGATGTGTATGTGGTCCCACGGCGATATGAACGAGGTAGGTACGGTAGGTTGCTCAAACCAGAGAACAAAAAGTGCACTAATAAGCTAGAACAAGAACAACACGAGAGTATAAAACTGTAGAGACAAGCCATAAGCCACCAAAGACTCAGAAAGCTTCTCCTATGATCCCGACTCAAAGTTAAGCACACCATTGCATGGCATCAATGATTCCCTTCCCATACAGCTTGCAGCTATGGTCGGCCAGCAGAGCGTCGCTCAAAATGATGCGCACGAACCGGGGCTTGGGGTCAGCTCCACGCACCACCACATGCGACACAGCAGGTCCAGGCACGGCCGCTGCAGCTTCAACTTTAGCAGCTTCACCATTAGCAGTGGCCGCATCGCCATTCTGCTTCTGCTTCTCCGCGTCAAACATCCCTCGCTCGTCCATGTCCTTTTCTTCTGCCACAAATAGCTTCTCCTCCTCGTGCTTCTTCCGCTTGGTGGGAGGAGGGGGCAGCTTGAACTGCTCCTGCAGGGAGGCGGGTGGTTTGCGCAGAATGTGGAAGAGCTGCCCCGGGGCCACCAGGCGCACGGGCGGAGCAGCAGAGGCTTTGGAATCGCCCTTGGCTGCCAGGCAGTCAGCACGCAGAAATGGGAGGGCAGATGGGAGAGGAGGTCATAAGGAAGTGAACAACCACCCAGGTGTGACAGAAAGGTCACATGAGTTGTGTGGAACAATCTGGAACATTCTAGTCCTGCAACCACCCCCCTGAGGATCGTTTGCTTCTCCCGTTACCCCTGCACCTGACTAAACCCACTCACCTACCCTCGCACAAACCCGCCAAAGCACCCACCAGGAGTCTTTGCCGCAGCAGGCACAGATGCAGCAGAAGGGGCTGCGGTAGCGCTCTTGGCTGTATGGAATTCAGCAAAAGGGGATTGGTTGGAGGGGCGGGTGGGGAACAGGTAGTGGAGTGAGAAGAGCCAAGTGTGAGCCAGCTATAGGAATGTGACACAGAGGTGGGCACTGTGGCACATGGTGAAACAGCTTGTGTGTCTCTCTGACAGACTTTATTCCTTTACTGATGGTTCGTCTCACTGATGGTCTTATCCTTGCCCCAACCACTCTTGCCCCCTCACTCCACCCACCCGCCCACCCGTCCACCCGTCCACCCGTCCACCCGTCCACCCGTCCACCCGCCCACCCGCCCACCTTGTGGTGCGGCCGCAGGAGCCGCAAAAAAGCTGCCTGCGTATGTCAACCATCCTCCAAATCCGTCGTTTGCCCCTGCCGCTGCTGGAGCACCTGCTGCCGCACCACCCGCAGCCCCACCAGCAGCAGCAGGAGCAGCAGCGGGAGCGGGTGCAAAGCTGAACCAGGAGGCGGCTTGGGAGGAGAGCGAGGGGAGCAGCTGGCCCTGGGAGATGCCGAGAGACGTCTCCAGGGCGGACTGAGAGCCCGATGCCAGAGATGCCAGGCGCTTTGCTGTGGGGTTATCCCGTGCCACTGCCGCCCTGTTGGGGGGACGGGAGGGGAGTGGAAGGAAGGGTGGAGGGAGGAAGGATGTGGATGAGGGGAGGGGAGGGTGGGGAGGGGGAGGGGGGGGAGAGAGCAGTGGAGGATGAAGGGTGCGTGGATTTGGGAAGGGGAGATGAGGAAAACAATTGAGCAGGTAATATTAAGGTGAGGAGGCAAGCAAGGCATGAGTGGTGCTGCAAGGCATGAGTAGCGGGAAGCTTGCAAGAAACGTGCGGGAGTGAGTGCGAGCGGTGGAGGAGAGGAGAGGAGAGAAGGAGAGGAGAAGAGAAAAAAGGAGAGGAGAGAGGAGGAGAGGACAGGAGAGGAGAAGAGAGGGAGGAGAGGAGAGGAGAAGAGAGGAGAGGAGAGGAGACGAGAGGATAAGAGAGGAGAAGAGAGGAGAGGAGAGGAGAGGAGAGGAGAGGAGAGGAGAGGAGAGGAAAGTAGAGGAGGGGAGGCGCACCAGTCGGTCTTGAGGATCTCGTTGCGGAGGTCAGTGATGGCGGAGAGGGAGATGCGCGGCACAACGTCGTCCTGATGAGAGATTAGATGTGGTACAGAGTAGCAAGGGGTTGCAGAGATGAGAGATGCGCAAGCTTTCAAGGGGAAACTGATAAGGCAAAGTGAAGGGTGACCTTAAGGCAAGTGCTGTGTTTAGAGACGCTGTTCACAGGGGGTATTCAATGGGTGCGTGCACATCTGAACGAACGTATGGGCGCATGTGCTTGCAAAGGGGTTGAGAGGGAGACTGTTCAAGAGGATGCAGAGGAGGACGATTCAGGCAAGCATGCGGTCGAATCCCCGATCGGCCAATCAGCCAATCCGCACAGAGCGGTATGCCATGCTGCATGTTGGCATGTCAATCATGTGTGCTGTTTATGAGCCTTTTGATCATGGCTGTTTTGCAAGCTAGTGGTTGTAGCATTTGCTAGCTTATCTACTTTTCCGTGACGCGCCACCACTTGCCATGTGCCAGCGGGTCATGTGCCATGCCCTGTGCCATGTGCCATGCACCGTGACCCGTGCCCCATATCGCATGGCGCATGGCGGATCAACCATCATCCCCCATGCGTGCCCTGCCCGTTACCTGCAGCACGACCGTGTTGAGGAAGGTGGAGGTTTCAGCAAGGTTCTGCGACACCACAGCAGGGCATGCGTAGGCCCAGCAGGAGGGTGTGAGCGCGGCCGCAGGGAGCGTGAGGGAGAGGGAGGAGACTGTGGGCGGGTGGCGCAGCAGCATGGCGAGCAGCGCTGCCGTGCCCGCCCCCAGGGAGTGGCCCACCGTTACTAGCGAATAGCCCTATATGGTGCACGCGGTGGGATGGGATGGGATGGGATGGGATGGGATGGGATGGGATGGGATGGGATGGGATGGGATGGGATGGGAAGCGATGGGATGGAGGCAATGACACGGAGGGTGGAAAGCAAGGGTGGACGGATAGAGGGATGGAGAGTGGAAGCGAGCGGCGTTAATGCAGGTAGGGAGAAAGAGAGCGAGGGGGAGCGGGAAGGGAAAAGGTGGGACGAAGAATTCGACGGGGTGTAATACACAGTTTTGAGAAGCACGTGCGGTGCTGACCGGGGGAGATCACATCTAAACAGAGACATGAAGAATGAAGAGACAGTGGTCACTGTCACACAGACAAGAGCCTTTTGGATAGAGACGGCGGCAGCGGCGGCGGTGGTGGCGAGGAGCCTTACAGGATTCTGCTCGAGTAGCGAGGCGATGAGCTTGCCCTGCTTCTTGGCCACCCACTTGGCTGACTCTAACATCCCCACGTGCGCGTGCCTGAGAACGTGGCGGGAGCGGGGGAGGATTGGTGGACGGGGACGGGAGGAGGAGAAGAGTGTTGGGTGGGAGAGTCGAGAAGGTCGCGATGAGCTTGCCCTGCTTCTTGGCCACCCACTTGGCTGACTCCAACATGCCCACGTGCGCGTGCCTGAGATCGCGGGCGCGGGGGGAGAGGATCGGTGACGGGCAGGCGAGAAGGAGACGTGTTTTTGAGGGGGGACGAGAACGGCGCGAAGAGAGACGAGAACGCGAGACACCATACAAGCAGAGGCCAGTGAGCGTGTGGGTGATGGTGACGCTGATGGTCCCGGTGATGGTGATGGTCTTGGAGTGACGATAACTGCGAGTGTCGACATACATGCAACCCGTAGTTTGCTCCGGCTCCAGATTGAATCACACACACACCCGCGCCATTCACGCACGCACGCACGCACCCGTCACCAAAGGGAACTCCGGCGGAGCAGAGGTCCGTGAGCCCGTCGGCGGAACTGGACGTGCCGCGCACGCCCACCACCACGCACTGCTTCTCCGCGCTCACCGCCACATAGTGCGCTGGGCGGAACACCGCGGACTCGTTCACGTGCTTGTGAATGGCCGACACGCACGCACCCGTCACCAAAGGGAACTCCGGCGGAGCAGAGGTCCGTGAGCCCGTCGGCGGAACTGGACGTGCCGCGCACGCCCACCACCACGCACTGCTTCTCCGCGCTCACCGCCACATAGTGCGCTGGGCGGAACACCGCGGACTCGTTCACGTGCTTGTGAATGGCCGACGGCGGGACCTGCGAGGGGTAGGTGGTTGGTGGTATAGTGCGGGGTGTGAATGGTTGATCATGAATGACGATTTGCAAAAACGATTTCAGAATACTGCGGGTGGTGGATGGATTAGAAGAAGCAAGCAGGAAGCGTGGGGGGGGGGGGGTCCGATTAGCAGCGGGGTGGGGAAGGGGAATGTGCGGAATGTGAGAGAATTGGGCACGAACAAGCGCACACGCACGCTCCGTGTGTTTGTCCAAGCAGCTATTACTCCCATGCAGCCGTGCATGAAATCGTGTGTCTCACCCTGAGATGCGTCGCGAGGGCGGCTGTGTCAGTCTCATATGCTGACATGGCCCAACGCAGCCAATGAAGGATCTCCTCCAGGTCATTCCTGATTTGGAACGTTTGGTTGGTTTAGCAAAGCAGTTTCGACCTGGATCCAACAGGTAACTCGTCCTTATCGTCCTTAGAGGAGACGTTTGGTTGGTTGGTTGCCAGGATTTGTAATGGGAGGGAGGACAGAGGACATGCGGTTTAGCTCGGCTGCATGTACGAGAGACGAATCGTGAACAGACCGTGGACGGACCGTGGACGGATTGTGAACGGACCGTGGAGGGATCGTGTGTGGTGGTAGGTACAGATGCCACCCATGGTGACTGGCTAGCTGCTGCTGGCGTTGTAAAAGACGATGCGAGGACACAGCATGATAGTAATCCGCCGGATAGCAATCGACCGGCGGTGGAAATAGGCATCGAGCATTGCCACGCTCATCGCTCGTCCCTCCCTCACGCACTCCTCCTTTCCTCGCGCGCACTCACCCCATCCCCGTCCCTCGTATCGCCACCCGCACCTGTTGCGGACGACGTCGCCGGGGATCGCATCGACGTCTTTCCCGGCGGCGTGCTTCAGGCTCAGCCGGTACAGCCCCAGCGTCAGGTCCTCCAGCGACCACTGCTCCATGCCATCCGCCGACTGCTTCAGAATCGACGCTATCGCTAGCAAGCTCGGCGCCGCATCCGCAATGGCGTCCATTTTGTCCGAAATGCAGACGAGATGTCTCCGCCTCTGCTCAACCTGTCCGCTTGCCTGCTGGGGACGCTAGTTACGCGCCTGCTCGCGAGCCGAGCGGTGGTTCTACCAACCAAGAAATTTGAGAAATACTGCAGCGACACGCGCTGGTCAGTTTATACGTCGGATGAACAGGCAGTGGTTCCAGTAGTTCATCAGCGCTCCAGCTGTATCTCCTCTCCACCTCTCCAGCGTTCCGTAATGTTTCCAAGCTCGCCGCCTCCGCCAGCCCGCCTGCCGTCGAATCGAGCCCATCCCGCCGTCTCCGCCACTTCTCCAACGATATGCCTGCCTGCTTGTCTGCCGCGTGGTGCGGGACGGAAGGGAGGCTGGCTAATGTGGGCTAAGTTGCGGAAGGCTGCGGGGAAGCGGGTGCTCTGTCAAGAAGACTGTGGTAAGTTGCGGAAGGCGCTGAGGAAAATTTGCGTTGGTGCGTTTCCGTAAACAATCATCCAGCGAAAAACAGAAGGATAAACCGCTGTTGTCTGGTTTTGTACCCCCATTTGACATTTAAATTACTACGGTGTATATGTGTGATATTAGAATTCGGATACAGTTCTGCAATGTGCAATTTCCATGTGTTTCTGAAGCTGATCGTCAACTGGAGGCATTTCCTCTGCACAGTGAGGTGAAGATATTCCAACTCTTCCCGAATTGGGGAAAGTGACTGAGGGAGAGATGTGTCACGGGGAGCCGGGGATTAGGGGATGGGGAAATACACACACACACACACCCTCCTAACCCGAAAAACAGCTCCGGTCATGAGAACTTGACCAACCAGGCCACGCGTGCAGGCTCGCGAAACTTGACTTACAGGTTCGAGCCGTGCCTGCCGAGGGCAAGCCCAAGAGATTAGGAACAACCCAAAGTCAAGAAAGCAGAAGGCTCACTAACAACAGCTCCGCTGAAACGCACAGTAACAGAAAATATAACCATCCGTTATTACTGCAAGCAATAGCAGGCCGTTATTACTGAAAATAAAACCATCAGTTATTACTGCAACATTCTTCTATTCATAGGCTACCTCTCACAACTTTGAACTTAGCACACGCCAAATTTACATATTTGTTAAATATGTACTGAAAATGCAGTTTTATACGGACGCACAATGAATCACTATATATAAAGCCTATCATAATATGCCAGTAGGGGCGTATATTTTGGCATCTTATAATAATCAACATTTTGTTTGTAGTGGATAACTGTAAGTTAATTGCAGCATTCCAGAAGTTGTTTTTAGTATTTTTTCTAATACATTAGCCTTATAAATATATATTTTGTTACAAACCGTAGATGACTTAATCAATATCTTGCTCGTCGTGAATGTAAAATGGCATATGTGATTATAACATAGAGATACGTCGAATTATATATGACTACAAAGGAAATTGAAATGTCCTTACCGGCTATCGCCATCTTGGCCGCAATTGTCTTCGACTCATCGCATACCTTCGTCTTCATACTCGGTAAGGTATGTCTTTGTTACGACAACAGGAATACCCGATATATTTTATATCGTTACACCTCTCTTCATTCCCCGTCGCAGCAGGTCCTCGCACGATTGACGACTTCGTGATGCTGACGTGGCAGTCACTTAGTGAGAAAGCCGGCTTCTTTATGACCGGTGGGGCTACGTCAAGTCAACCTTGCCTTTGTCAATTCAGTCCTTGACAAACAAGTACTGGAACGCGACGTGCTTCGTTCGATTCACAAAATCCGGTTTGTTCGCGATCTTGATAGCGCTCTGGTTGTCACAATGAAGGCATACGGTAGGTGACGTGGCAAGTTTTGCTTCTTGTAGAAGCTCATGCAGATACAACCCTTCACGAACAGCAGCGGTGGCGGCGATGAATTCTACTTGGGCTGATGACAGGGCAACCAGTTCATGCTTCTATGAGGTGCAGGAGATTGGTCCCATCGGCTCGAGTCGGAAGAGAAATCAAGTTTATGACGGTTGATTGTCTGGAACAGCGGCGTGATCAGCACCCACGTAGCCGATGTGGTTGAAGGATCAAGTCGGGAGGATTGAGTAGGAAAGGCCGATGTTGGAGTCGAGACGAATTACCAGCAGGGCGCGTTGAAGGTCCAGCATGTTCTCTTCTACCGACTTGCGGGGGTACTAGGCGGGTAAGCTTGCAATGTATGAGAGATCTAGCTGTTAGAATCTTAGAGAGAACAAGAATGAATGAACTAGCAGAAAGTTGGGTACAAGTAGGAAACCCTAAGTTTGTTGTACCCCCTAAGGCTAAACCCACTATAGCCTACACAATGTAAACATATAATGTTTGACACACCCCCATAGGCTAAGTGGGGGAGAGCAAGGGGTCACAAGACCAGTCAAAGCAAGAGAAAGCAAAACAAGCTCAGGGTGGATCTCAGGGATACCACACAAATTCCGAGCACAAGCAAGTGGTCACAAGACCAGTTCACATGCAGTTTGATAATATAACAAGAGGTACAGTGATCAAAACCTAGCAAATGTAAGCATGCAGGTATATATATAAAGATCACAGTACAAGCAGAGTCAAGAAGTGAGCAAGTGAGGGAGAGTAGGCACAAGGCCTAGAACAGTACAGAAACGCTGATGATCACAAGGCTGAAGCGCCTTGGTGAACACATCAGCAGTGTTGGCCCGAGTGGCCACGTAAGTAAGACGAAGCTGACCACGCTGCTGCAGCTCTCGAGCAAGGAAGTAGCGCAGAGCGATGTGCTTCGTTCTGTGCTCCAGTCTGTGCTCCTGACACAAGGCAAGGGCGGCCTTGTTGTCGACGTACAGCACTGGAGGAGAACGAGGCCGCTCTCCCAGGTCGGTCAGCAGGTAGGTGAGCCAGCGTAGCTCCTGGGCAGCCATGGCTGTGGCGTAGATCTCAGCCTCACAACTGGAGCTGAGAACAGAGGAAGAGCGTGTAGAGCGCCAGGAAACAGAGCCAGAGCCAAGGCTGAAGGTGTAACCCTGAGACGACCGCTGCGTAGCCTGGTCGTCAGCCCAAGAAGCGTCTGAGTGTCCAGTGAGGACAACGTCGCGCCGTCCTCCAAGCACAAGCCCCATGCCCGACGTACTGCACAAGTAGCGCAACACCCTCTTAGCAGCATCCATGTGCTCCTTCCGGTGACGGCCAGGAGCGACATAGCGTGCTAGGATGCTAAGAGGGTATGCAAGGTCAGGTCGAGTGCAGGTCATCAGGTACATGAGGCAGCCCACAAGCTCTGGATACGGGCCACTAGGCTCTACGGACTCATCCGAAGGCAGAGCTGAGAGCGAGTGACCGGTAGGCAGAGGAGTGGGCTGAGGCGAGGAGTACGTGAAGCGGAAGCGCTGAAGGACCTGCTGCACCATGTGTGACTGAGTCAAGGTGATGGTGCGTTGTGCTCTGTCCCGGGTGATCCGCAAGCCAAGATAGCTTGTCAGCTCACCCAGGTCTGTGCACGTGTGTCTCTTCTGCAGCTCCGACTTCACGTGGGCGAGTGCCTCAGTGTCAGCAGTAGCAAAGACCAAGTCGTTGACGTACACGAGAACGTAGAACGGCGGCAGAGTGGTGTCGGTGCGTAGAAACAGCGACGGGTCCGCAGTAGAAGGAGCAAACCCGAGAGCCGCAATCGTAGTCCTCAGTGTGTCGTGCCACTCACGGGGTGCCTGGCGGAGACCGTGGACTGGCCGCCGGAGGCTCCACTGGGTACCAGGAGGGAACAACCCAGTGAAGCCAGGTGGGCGGCGCAGCCAGATCTCCTCGTGCAGGCTGCCCTGTAGGAACGCAGTGCTGAAGTCAAGAGAGTGGAGCTCGTAGTCACGCTGAGCAGCGACGTGCAGCAGAACCCGAAGAGTGGTCATCTTCGGGGTCGGGGAGAAGGTCTGGAAGAAGTCAACTCCCTCTCGCTGACTGAAGCCTCGAGCAACGTAACGCGCCTTGAAGACAGGCGGAGAACCCGGCGGCCGCTTCACCCTGAAAATCCACATGCCACTGACGATGTTCGCCCCAGGTGGGGGAACCTCGTCGAAGTAGGTGCCTGTGGACTTTCAGGAAGCCATCTTTGCGTCCATGGCTGTCTGCCACTGAGAGGAGTAGAGACCCTCCATCGCCTCTGCGTAGGAGCGTGGGGTCGGGATGTCTAGTGCATCCGGGTCTCCCTCAGGGGCAATTAGCATGGACACGAGATGAGGTAAAGCAGCAGCAAAGCACTCAAACTCCTCCTGTCTGTCCTCAAGGACGTCCGTGCCAAGAGCACACTCACCCTCGACGGACGGAGGACAGACAGACTCAGACTCAGCAACAAGGCTAGCGGCGTAGTCTAGACGACAGGCGGCAGCAAAGTCAACAAGCTCAGCGACTAGAGCAGACGCAGTAGAGGACTCAAAGGAAGGGTCAGCGACAACAGTGGCAAGGAGACGCGCGACAGTCGGACTAGCAGCACGAGCAAGGTCTGACGGCAGGTCAGCAACGTCAGGAAGAGAGGACGCAGGAGGAGACGGCAGAGGGACACGCTGTGGAGCAGTGGAAGGACGCAGGGTCATATAGTGAGTGCCAAGGACAGGAGGAGGACGCTCACGCGGAACACGACGACCAGTGCGGGCAGCGCGGACAGGCGACTCTGGACGAGACTTAGGAGACGCAGGACTAGACTCAGGCGACGGAGGACGAGACTCAGGCTCACGACGCTCCGTAAGACTACCCGTCGGCGCAGTGTAAGGAGAAGGAGCAGGCAGCGGAGAAGCAGGCTGTAACTGTGACTGCGACTGGACAGACGGTGGGCTCAGTAGGGGAGGAGAAGGACCAGTACAGGGCGGGAGACCAAGAACCTGCTGAAGGAGCGGAACGTAGTACGGCCGCGGCCGCTCAGCACCTCCAGCTCCAACCCCCTCAGCAGGCCCAGTCCCAGCAGCTCCAGTACCTCCAGTACGAGCACCTCCAAGACCAGTGGCTCCAGCAGCTCCAGCAGCACCAGCACCAGCAGCACCTCCAGCAGCG